GTTCTCTTAGAACTGCAGAGCAGCAAGTTGATTTCATATTTTCTCCGTGGCCATATGCCGCAGAAACTCGCAGAGCATATCGTGATGCACACCTCAGAGACAATCCTTTGGTTAGAGATTTGAAGCATTCAGGTAAGAGAACTGCGCTGGTCGATATGAGTTTGCATAAGATTTCAGAAAGGAGAATATTTATGTGACTTCTGTACAAAATAATAATAATTAAAAAAAATTCAATCATCCCTCATACAAAAGGTTTATTCTACTTCACATTTTAAAAAAAGTACAGAAAAATAAACAGAACTGAGAGAAAATGACCAAATTTAATCATATAATCGGCATTGAAATAAAACTTTAGTTGATAGACTGTTCACCTCCATTTGCAGATACAATTCTTAAATCACACATGATAAAACTACAGAAACGTCTCTGATTTTTGTCACCTCGTTGCAGGTTGGTAAACCTGAGTCCATCCTTCAAACGCATGCTGTTGTGCACAAAACAGCCTTTGTTTTCACAAGATTTGCTCGTCATCTCGAGAAAACCATCGAGAAAAATGCGTGAAACGTCCATTGTAGGCTTCCGTAGTTTTTCTGGCTCTTGCTCTTACACACTGGTTGTGATTCAGCAGCGCAAAATGTGATCACATGCAACTTTGTTCCTGGTCTTAAGATTTTGATTTGACCTATATGTAATACAGTGTTTGGATGTGCATATATCAGAGGAAAATACAGTTATTGTTATTGCTAACACAAGTTAGCACAACAGTTAGCAAACCCCACTGGATTCCTGAGCGGTGCAGAACTCCATGTGGTCGGGTGTGATAAATTTTCCAGATGCGGTGCAAGTTCAGACTTCTGTGTAAATGCAGTGTTGCTTTATACTGAAGATGAATCATCGGTTTCCAACAGCGACAGAGTCAATGTTGAACTCGAGTTTAGTGCCGGTCCCATGACAAATAAAAGGAAAAGCACATTTATCCAGCAGCTGATGATAAAGGACTCTAATGCGGATAGAAGAGCAGTGAATATGTCCAATCTTACTATACTCTTATTTAGGAAATGAGAGTATTATTATTAAAAAGTTATTAATTTCAGCAACTCGCCTCACTAAGCAACATAAAAAGACATTACAAACAGGCTGTTTTGAAGCGTTTATTTCTGTTAATTGTGATGATTCCTCATCACAATTAAAGCTGATGAAAGCATGGCATGAAAGGTCCCAACAAAAACCAGTAGAAAGACCTTCATGAATATAGAAATGTGGACTTGTTGAGAAGTTTGCTTAATACCACCTGAATGGTCATTTTCAATAAAAAATAAGTCAATTTTTTTGTTCTTTTTTATAATGGTAATGGATGTTTCCGTAGAGTGGAAACACATCGGCACAATGACTTGGCCAGAAAAAAGTGTCAACTCTAAACAGTCTTTTCCACAAACAGAAAACACACTTTAAGTTCTCGTCCTTGGACAGTATCACTGCTACAAAGAAACATACAACGTGGACCTAGTTACTCATGCACACCAATAAAACCTCGTCAAACACCTCCTGTCTCACTTTCCACTCAAATTCATTTGCTTACCTTGATACACGCTTATAAAAAGCACATTTAAAACCGCTGTTGTCTGAAAACTGCTGAGCACAGAGAATTCTCTCTTTGGCTTCACGCACAGATGCATTCATAGCCTCAAGCGGTTTGAGTCCCATCATCTGGCGACACACAAAGTTAGTTAGGACACTTTTCATTTGGCTGCTGCATTGCGCCACGCCGTCTCAGGGCAGCTCTATGCCGAGCCCCTGGCGCTCGGATGCTCAGTGACGGATCCCAGGCGATATCTTATCTAATCCTGCCGAGCAACAAAGGCAACAAACCCTAACCCAGAAACGCCATTTATCAACCTGCCAAGCTCCAACTGGAAGCTAAACCCACGCTTAGCTCCTGTTTAAGACTTAAGATTCTTCTGGAAACATTGAATTGATTCAGAAGGATTCAGCATTTGGTAAAATACTAATCCATTTTTTTTGCACTATTCCTAAGAAGAGAAATTCCTTGTTTTACCTGCCTTCCACTAATAAAGTAATGCTGATGTTCCAGATTGCATTACGAAGACCTAATGCTTGATTATTTTCTTCCAACTGTAGTGCTCCACTGTGGAAACTAGGAGACACACTGATGTGTCGAGTTGGCAGGTTTTCTAAGAGGCCATGTCACTGTCATGGTTCAGAAATCCCTAAGGAAAACCACTTTTATAGACTGACATGCATTTCCAGTTGCGACATAACCCAGAACAGAATTTTACAGATTGGCATACTTCTGATCATTTCAAAAGAGGTTCTCATATATGCCAACTTGGCAACCTGCAAGACAGAACATCCATATTTTGTTCTGGTCTTCACTGTAGATCTTGTTAAGAATTTTTTTCATTGTAGTTGGTCCGATGAGAAATTAGTCATAAACCATAGTTTAAGTCTTCATTTACAGCTTGATGCTTTAATTAGTCTGTAGAAAAGATTCTAGCCAAACAACTTGAAATGTCTCCTTCAGTGCATTATGAGTCTGGCGGGCTGCCAGGCTGTTGCTTGAACTACAGGAGGCAATATCTCTCTTTCAAATGTACTTTCCTATGTAACTTGTCAATGAGGTGACAGTCATCGTCCAGCCAGCCAAGCGACCAGCGATATTTGTGCATGTGAAGTTTTGGGCTCTCACACATAGACTTGCACAGCGACATGACGCAAGAAAATTGAAAAATGTTCAGCTTGTGTGGGTTTCAGCTTTATTGGGTTTCAATAAATGATTGAAAGCCAATAATCGCTAAGACCGTAACCTTTCATGTCATGTGTCAAGCTCATTAAAGTAGATGCATTAAACTAGGCATGAATTGTGGATGCCATCTTTGAATCGAAATACACCATTTGGAAAGGGGCTCATTTTTGCAACAACAAAAGCATTTATAAGCCTTTATGTAAAACAGTAGGATTTAAAACGAGGACAACACAAGAAGCTTTATTCAATAAATCACATTTTAAGGATATTTAATTTAGCATACTCTTTATTGGCATTTTTTTTTCGTATTTCTTAATTTAGTTCACTTTTAAATGTGACCAGAATTAGATGGCAGGTTTTAAAATCCACTTTATTATAATCCAACTGAAGTATAAATAATAGATGTTCATTTGTTTTAATTGTGCTTTTTGTGTTTGCCATTTTAAGACTATAATTGGTGTTTAAGTATTGTCAATAATTACATTGTCATAATTCACATTTTCTTCCAACTTTCAACACATTTTTTAAAAACACAAAACCATATTGGTCCTCTGGTCGGCTGCCCATGCCGACCAGAGGACCAGAACCCGCTGAGGCTCAGCAACGTGTTAGGGGAAAGCCCTGAACATGAAACTGAAACTTGGAAAAATAAAAAAGTAAGAACCCCATCCAAGGACCCTTCATTTAGAGAGTGAGTTTGATGCGGTTCTTTGTCTGATATGCCTCACCATGTGAGGAATGCCAACTTTGGACAATTTTGTGATCTGGTTGGACAGAGCTGAATTTCTCTGCTGCTGCTCGTCTCACACTTTAAAGCGTCTAATCCCAAAGTGATAGTTCATTACAGTCTGTGATTAGACCCTCTCCCGTCACGCCATCAGCAAACTAATAACGTGTGAACGGAGCTCATCAGCGAGCTGAGCGCAAAGTGCAGCTTATGAGTAATTTTCTGAGTGCTGCAGACCTGGAGACGTTCCAGACGTTCTTCCAAGACACGAGGTGTAATTAGATCAAATTCAGGTCTTGGACCGTGAGTTTTACCGACATGAAAGAAACTTATTAATTACAGAGGTGCCTAGCTTGTTGGCTGTCAGTCACATTTTTGTTTGAAATTGCTTCTCATTTTGATTTGATTCTAATTGTAATGTGACATTGTTACAACTTGTGTACATTTATTTAATCACCAGGCATTTGTATACTGAATTATAAAAATGTCAACGTAAAACCTCACAATGCTGCCAATGAATGTGATGTAAAACTTTTCTGAGCCTTGTTCATCTTGAACTGCATTTTTATTAGTCTTATTTGAATTTTGTCTCGGCAAATTAGTAATATACCATCCAGCCATTCATCCCCACTTGAAAATATAAGGTGCTCACAGAAGAACACAAAGATACACACAAGCAGGCGACCATATTTTCACACATTCAGACACAAGTGCAAATTAGAAAAACCAATTAAGCTAAAAATATGCAGATCATAGAGTTAAGGAAGAACCAAGAGTACAGAGAGAAACAACCTTGGATCCACCTAAGCTCATTTCTTTATGATTTGTAACCCTGTACCTACTGCCAAGCACAGTGAAGGCTGCTTCATATAAGGATCTGTTTTTGCCAGTTCATTGCACAAAATGGGTGAAATATTGAACATGGAGGAGGATGTTCAAATTCTTTAGCTTTGGATCAGCACTCCAAATGTTAAACAGCAAGATCTGGGTATTTCATAACCATTACCACACAATTACCATTACTATTATAACACTATATCGTATCAATAACTATATCATACTATACATTATGGTAATTCCTAACTCTACCCATTGAAAATGCATAGACTTTGCTTAAAGGTTCATTAAAGGAAATTAAATCCATCTATTTAAATGGGCTCTTCTGCTTTTATGAACAGAAGTGTGAAATATTCATTTACGATCCATAAAGTTGTTCTCACACAACCTAAAAAATATATTGGCAATGTATTTTTTTTTTATTTTCACCAAAAAGTCAATGACTCCACACATTATGTTCTCAGTGACTCATTTCCTTTGCTTTTTTGTCCTGTCTCTGTACAATATGAATTGCTGTTAGTCGGCTCTTTCTATAGATTTCAATTTAAGGTTTGGCTTTCTGAGTGTAAAAATGCCCCTGCAGCTATTATAAGAGAGAAATGCTGCAATTACTGATTATAGAAACACCTTAGTCAACCTAAAATGTTTGTTTCTTTCTTTCTCTCCCTACAGATTCGCCCTGCTGAGTTCTGACCGGGCAGAATTCGGATAGGGTCTCTGTCTGAACTCTGTCTGGTAACTCCCATTCAATGGAAGTAGACATGATTGTTTAACCTTTACATACCTGGCTGCTGGTTATTTTCTCAAATCTTAAACAGCATCTCACCCTGTCTTGAGATAAATCATCAGTAATAAGCAAAGAGGTACTTTAAATTTACATTTAGTGCCAACTCTCCCTGTGCCAAGATGGATGAAGCACCTAACAACAGGACTTCCTTGGTCAAAGGTGCCAAGGACATCGCAAAGGAAGCCAAGAGGCATGCTTCCAAAAATTTCAACAAAGCCGTTGATCGTGCCTCTGACGAATACTCTGCCCAACGCAGCTACAACCGCTTTCAAAACGAGGATGAGGACAACTACAACGCTTACAATCAGCCGGACAGCCAATACGGTGACAATGCAGCCAACGACGACGACGGGGCGTCCAGCGACGCAACCGAGGGCCACGACGACGAAGATGAGATCTACGAAGGAGAGTACCAAGGCGTGCCGGCCTCCAACAACGAAAAGCCCCGGGATGACCAGGTGGCTCTGGGCCTAAAGAGCCTCAAGAGCCAAAAGGAGCTGGAAAACGAGAGGCAGGCGGACGAGGAGGAGCTGGCTCAGCAGTACGAGCTGATCATGCAGGAGTGTGGCCACGGGAGGTTCCAGTGGCAGCTTTTCTTCGTGCTCGGACTGGCGCTCATGTCTGACGGTGTGGAAGTGTTTGTGGTGGGGTTCGTCCTGCCCAGCGCCGAGACGGACATGTGCGTCCCCAACTCTGGCGCGGGATGGCTCGGTAAGTGGCCTCACTGAATGAACGTGTGAAACCACTGCAAGCCATTCTTCTTCATGTTACTCAGTGGATTTTAAAACGTCCACTGGTTTGTAAAATTGACTTTTACATAACGTTATAATATTATGCATACCTGGCATTACCAATGACATCACTGATTGTCGGTGATGTCACATTCAACATATTCTAGAGACAACATGAGTGCAATAACAAAGCACTTTATTAACAATCTGCTTTTCTGTAGTACAGACACTTATATCTAGATAATTTTTCTCTGAAACTTTTTAAAACCTGCCAAATGTTGTGAAAAGCTGCCCAAATTTTAACAACCTGCCCAAAACCATCTTTTTCTTTTTTTCAACCAAGCATTTTCAAAAGCCAGTGTTGATGATATGGCAAGTTTGTCAGAAAGAATGAAAACAAAGATCAGGACTTCAGGAATAATGTGTCGTTTCATACTGATGGCATCAAAACTTGACACTTGAGTCTATAATTTGAATAATGTAGAAGCAGCCATGGAGTTGTCATGGCACCAGGTATTTAGATACACGAGTAGGAGGTGTCGTCACTCTGAATGTGTGCCGCTCGTCTTCCTATTTTCTCACTGATATCAGAAATAGCTTCACGCACAATACTTTTTTTCCCTTCAGTTTACACTAATTTTGGAGTCTCTATACAGACAACAAGACAAAAAGTGCAATTTCTGTCGGCGCAGTGTTACAATTTCGAGGTCGTTCAGCGCTCCCCTCTCAAGAGCGGGACGGTTTGTGGTTCACCCGGACTGATCCTGTATTGTGACTCATCTCTCAGTGGGAGCCAGGAGGGAAAGAATAGAAAGAATGAGTCATTTTACCAGCTGGCTTACACACAGCATAAATAATGGATGTGCGTACACGCTCAGTTGTGAAGGATAAACCGAACACAATGGACTCGACTGGCGCTTTTATCACCGATCCTCTGAGAAGGTCAGCGACTCAAGAAGCGGTTGATAAGAGCATCTTCTGTCTGAAAGGAGTAAACAGAAGAACTGATGGATTACAGGGAAAGTCAGAGTTCATCCTGCAGAAGTGGTAGCGTAGAGTCAATGTTTAGCTAATGTCTAAACATTAGCCTACTGTTCATCCCAAGGAAGCATTTTCAAACAATAAGTTCTTGTTGTTATATCTCAGTCCTGTCACACATCCTGAGGAATTGATGCCGAATTATTCCATTTTTTTCCGTCAGATCTGAGAATCTTTGTTTTTTGTGCTGTAAATGTTTGGTTTTCTTTACTACAAAGACGACAGCGTCTGATCTAATAGTTTAGATCTAACTATTTCCTCCAACATTTTTTTCCATTTTTGGATTCAAACTTCATTTACATAATTTTAACTGAGCTTCACTGTTGTTTAGTGCGCTACCAATGCTGCTAAAATGCCTCTGTGTTTAGACAACTTTTTCATGTGAGCTCTTGGTGTAGCCATCTTGTCCAATTCTGTTTTTTTTTCTTTCTTTCTTTTTAAAGAACTATAAAAACGGACAAAAACTTTTTTTTTTTTTGATGAATTGGCAAGAGCGAGAAAAAAGTATTAATTTGTCAAAGGCATTTCTTTCTTACACTGCAAGTTATGGGACAGAGGTGACTACAAACAAAGTAAACAAAATTAATCTAAACATTTCTAATTTTTATGTTTAAAACTCTAACATAGCTTATTAAGTGTTTTTTTTAATTGTGTGCTCATTATTTTATAATTACTCATGTAATCTAGTTGCTTTGCAGAGTAAATAAATCAAAGAGAAAAAAATGATTAAAAAATTTTTTTTGTCCCGTGTAAACATTCGTCTTGATTTATTGTAAGGGATTATTAGCATTCATTCCTAATCGTTTTAAGATATGACTAAGACGCCTCTTCCTCATATTTTAATCTAAGTTGAGATACCATCAGATATCAGACTGTTTTCGTCTCTTCTTCTTGTTCTTGTCTTGTTTCCCCCCTCCATCACCCTCACAGTATAATCCACTTAATGCTCTCTCAGAGCTTCTCCGTCTCTCACAGCCATGCCGGTGATCTGACGATACGGGCTCGGGTTAATCTCTGCAGCATTGTGCTTTACTGCAGTTTAGCCATGGTAGACTGGCTCACGTACCTCCCTGGAGAACAAGGGGAGGGAGGGAGAGGGCTGCCTTCACTCTCCCTCTTTTTATCTGGTGCTCCACGACATATGGCTCGGATGTGGGTGTTTTCCTGCATCGCCATAGTCTGAACCAAGAGGAAGAGCTAACTTTTCTTTTTCTTTCTTTCTTTTTTTTTTTTTTTTTACAGAACTGTACATGTAATGTGGTATTGATTTAAGTGTGCTCTTAACCATAATAGAATATTATAATTTATCTCTGCCTCAGCACAACAAAAAAATGAATTGGGGGTGTATCAATATGAACATTCAACAACCTATATGTAGATAAACAATATTTATTAAGATCTATAAATATTTGTCACATCTTTACGTCCGTGGAATTACTTCCCCCACTTTTATTCTCTATTCTCAGTAATTGTTACATTTGTTGAGCATAAATCCCGCCTCACACCTTTTGGTTTTAGTTGGTCACCTGACGCTAGCTTGGAAAGCAAAGCAGCTCGGTAAATTAGGCTGGCAGCCAGTCAGAAAGATAAAACAATAATGTTCGATGAAATCAGAGTATTTCAATAATGACTGAAACAGAGACTAGATTTAAAAAACGTGTGTTGGATTTATATTTTTGCGTCTTTTCTTCAGGTTTTCCGGTTCTCCAGCGCCCTCCGGTGGCCCCTCTGCTTAGGACATTCGCCATAATCGCTCACTTTTTAAGTAAACCTGGATAAAGTTACACAACAATCTGAAATCATATTCAGGGTTTTGCATATGTGTGGATTAACGCTGCTGTACATGCTATCAATAGTCAAACAGTGCATTGATAGAACTTAGAGGGAGGGAAAACAGTAACTAAACCCCAATGAGGGGAAAAACAAATCGGCAGGTGTTAAAGTAATTAATATCTGAGGACTGTGACTTGCTCCTGAGGGGTGTCTCCTCTCTCTTACCGCCACTCATCTGTCTCACCGCCTGCATCAGCCCACCCATCAGTCAACGTGGTCCTCTGGGGTTCCCCTCAGCGCTCGCTTAATGTCTCGAGCGTTCCAGCTGAGGAAGTAAGCTCTCGACTTGCCTGTGACGCAGGCCGTCTGTTTGTCTGTGTGTCTGTCTGTCTGCCTGTGTTCTCCTCTCATCCATGCCAAGATGCTGTGTGGCTGCGTGGAGAGAAAAACAGAGCAGAAACTGAGGCGTCGGGAGAGACTCGCGCTCACACATAAGAGCTAATTAAAGTGGAAAAAAGTAGCACACAGGGAGACCGCTGAAGTCAGCTTACGAGCCGGCTAAAACAAAAACAAACCAGAGCTGTTGAGTGTTCATAAAGTTAACAAATGCACTCCTCCTCTTGCTTTATGAAAATATAATCAATTTACTATTTTTACTTGCATAGCAATGCTTTTATGAAGTCTTAGCTATGTGGAAACAAAAAGGCATCTTTTCGTCTTATTTCTGCAGTTCTTGCTCTGCTCCATCTCACTGGCCTCAGTTAGATTTTTGAAGGGGCAGTAATGAAGTAACTATGACAACTTCACTTGTTGCATATTAAATACAATTTAAAAGAAGTTTCACTTTCAACGCGTTTGTAATTTAATGCGTTGAAATTGAGCCTCTATCTCTGTAAGAAACTCCAGCTCTTTCTGAAACTCTGCCTTCAGGAAGTCGTCACAACCCTCTATTAACCCTTTAACTGTTTTATTACAAGCATTTCACTGGCATCTTGCACAGCTGATGGTTGCCATGGGAGATCAAAAGATGGCTCAGATATACATGAAAGAATCAAAGCAACAATCCATGTGTGTTTTTGATGAGGAAATAACATCATTGCAAGATGTAAAGCTCAAGAAGTAAATTTTATTTAAATAAAATTTGAAGTAACTGTAAACTGTCCCTTTAAAATCAGAAAGTCACCTGCAGTTTTAAGCTATGTAATTTACTTAAATTCTACATTTATGAACGGACTATTGGTTATCCAGATTATCTGGAAAGGTTAACTGCCTTATAGATGTGATGGACTTTATAAAACAGACAGGGTGAAAGTGTTTGCTTAACTGCGTCAAACACGTGATACTGCCACCGCTACTTTCTCGTTTCTTTAAATTTACCCTTGCAAATCTACATAAAAGCTTTCAAGGTCTGACCCCAGTTTGAACCCTAACAGGAAATCACAAATCCAATCTCAGAAGCCTTTTATGCTGCGTCTCAGATGCCCCATCGCTATAACCACCCCGCCGTCCTCCACCCCGACCCCGCTCCCCCCACACACTCTCATCCTCCCCCCTTCATTACACGTACAAACGCAGCATGAGAGCAGCCATAAAACAAACGAGGTGGTGCTCCGCAGATACCATCTCCTCCCGAACACACACCCGCGTGTATCTACACAAATCACAAGGTGCCAGCCGATTTTTTTTGCTTTTGCTTTTTTTGTGCAGAATGCAGCATTTTCAGACACTTGGTTTGATACCGTATCACACGGCCTCCTCCTCATATCCTGAAGGAGGCTCCTCCGCCGCCGCAGTGCATAGATTCTGTGACTGTCACCTGTAATGAATCACTCGCTCTCGGCGTGCCTGCGCAGCGTGATAAGGCCCCCCTGCTCTCGGTGAATCTGTCCCATCACCAGAGACGCAGCGAGCGCAAAAAGAACAGAAGACCTCCTCTCCCTTGCCAGCTTATTTTCTTTGCTGCCTCATCAAACAATCGCATCTCCGCTTCCTCTAGCATTAGCATTTTTATTAGCACACAACAGAATAAAGTGGGCCATTTACAGGCCTGGCTGCTCTCACCCCTGTCCATGACCACCCTGTAGGGGAAAAAATAAGTAAAAAATGGCTCCTGTGGAGGAGTTGCTGTGCAGAGAAATTGCTCATTTATGAACACTACAGCAGCTGTGTTTCCTTCACAAATGTGCTCAAAATCTTGTCAATATTCCGCTAATGTCAAAAGACAATGCGGTGTTTCCGTTAAATAAGAAACGCAATGAAAATCACACTTTAATAAGTGTGTTCATGCAATAGGTTATTAGAAAACATTCCACTTCCTGTCATCTTCTTCTTCTTTTCCACCAGTAGCAACATGATCACATGACTCATGGGATCCAAAAAAGTGCTTCCATTCTTTAGCTCAACTTTAAGTGTTTCAGTAACAAATATATGAAAGGAAGAATAGAAATGATGGACATTAGTCAAGTCAAGTTACATATCAGCACATTTCAGCAACAAGGCACTTCAGAGTGATTTACTCCATAAAAGCCAGTAATGAAACAAGCGATAAACATCAAGCAAATATACATCAAATATGTTTATCAATGTTCCAGTTATTATGTCTCAAAGCCAAATGGAAACAGGTGGGTTTTTTGTCTAGGTTCATAGGAAGTCAGCATTTCAGCTGTTTTGCAGTTTTCTGGAAGTTTGTTCTAGATTTGTGGTGCATAGAAGCTGAAAGCTGCTTCTCCATGTTTGGTTCTGGTGTTGTAGAGAAGACCAGAAACAGAAGACCAGAGTGGTTTGGAAAGTCCTTTATGAAAATACTCCGTAAACCTTTCAAAGTGTAATAAAAATGTAATAAAGTAACTGGAAAAAAAAGCAAAAAATGTTCTTTTTGAACATTTTTTGCCTATTTTTTGTAAATTTCTATGCTCCAACTGAGTGTGACAGGAAAGCAAAGAAGATAAAGAATCTGAACAAGGGTTAAATTTTTCTCACATTCTTTATTATAATCTAATAAAATGCCAGAACAATTAAAACCTGGCCACTAAAAATCGAACATCTGAAACATGAACGAACGCGTCATCACTGTGCCGTACAGAAGTTATTGCAACACTTTCCTTTGTGTTCCTATTGTGGTTTATCTGAAACCTGATCCTCACACTGCAGAGTTAATCCAAACCCAGACACATCGACTGTCATTAGACTCTGGCAGTGGAATCGCAAAACCCCCAGCGTAGTTAAAACACTGTCGGGGTGATCTACAGCGTCGTGGACTGGAGTCACAATGTGGTTCATTTTAGTGCTGTGAGCCGAGCTCAACTAATCGATCCTCTGTGTGCCATCAGTGTGAACCTCTATAGGCGTAGTCTGCTCTGTGTGTGGCTGGGAGCGACTCAGTTTAGTTTGGTTTGAAAAAAAGATACCAGCATCTCAAATGTTGCAGAGATGTCTTCCTGCGATTAAAATTTCATCTCAATATTCTGTGGTTCTAGAGTGGCAGCCATAAAAGTGACGAAAAGAGCTATTTATTGCTGCTTTTTTAGTTAACCATGTGGCTGTGCCACAGCAACAATAGCTCTATCCAGGTGTAAGTTTAAGTCACTTAAAGAATGGATTGATTTGTGTCACTACACTGCACACCGTAACTACATTTAATCATGATTTTAAATTTATTGCAGCTTATCAATACTTTCATTGAACAAACATTGGAGACAAACAGCAAAGCTATCAGTACGGACAGTTTTAGGTGGCTTTAAACATATTTAATTGGAATTTATCGTGACGGCAATAAATCAGAATTCCTATTTTGATAAGAAATTTATCGCGATACATGATACGATTCCCACCTGCTTTGCTTCTTTGGGTTTTTGCTTCGGCTACTGTTCAGTTTTATTGTTCTGATTAGCTGCCAACTTCACTGCAGAAACACAAAGTCTCACCAAGCATTTTTTTATATCTAATATCTAATGCAAATATCTTAGCAAATTTCAAATAAAAGGAAAACTAACTTACAAATAAGTTTTCAGCAACACATAGGAGCTTCTTTAAATTAAACAATTCATTAATTTTATTGAAAAAAATATGAGTTCCAATGGCAGATTATGTCACTTGCCAGTAGAACTAATACTTTTGAAATATTACTTAAAACAAGCTCCTATATCTGCCTGGAAAGGTTACTTGTAAGTTAGTTTTAGTTTTTCAATTGTCCTGAGATATTAGATGCAAGAACACACATTCTTGGTGAGATTTTGTATTTTTGAGGTTTCTAAAAGCTGAACGTGTAGAGGTGTTAGTAATTAAAAATCTGTCTTTTTGCTCTCTTTCTGCCTCCTCCTCTCTCTGCAGGCAGCATTGTGTATCTGGGTATGATGTTCGGAGCGTTTTTCTGGGGCGGCCTGTCAGACAAGGTGGGCCGCAAACAGTGCCTGCTCATATCCATGTCCGTCAACGGCTTCTTTGCTTTCCTCTCCTCCTTTGTTCAAGGCTACAGTATGTTCCTCCTCTGCCGCATGGTGTCTGGCTTTGGGTGAGTGCACTTAACCTTTACTTTTCATTACTTTCCCCGCTCTTCTTCCCTTCATACTCAGTGTAAATGAGATTCTGAAAGCTCCTGTGAGGATTTCCCCCTTCTATGCAGCCTGATCCTTCCCTCCGCTGCTCGTTGCTCTGCCGTCTCTTCTTCTTTAAGGAAAATGCACAAAACCGACACGTTTGCAGAAACAAACCAAAGGCAATAAGTGAACATCTGCAAGCTGTTGTCAGCTCGGCTGCCAGCTTCCTTGATAAATGGTTTGCCGTTCCTTCGCAGTTAACCAACAGCATGTTCATGCAGTGAATGTGCCTTTGGCGGTATTGACGTGAGCTGATAAGCTGCCGAAAAAGCAAACAGATTTGGTTTTAGCAGACTGGAATGGGTTTGTCAGATTGGTTTGAAAATGTTCTGTTCAGTTTATTTACGTGTGGAGAACAAATGTCATCTTAAAGCACTTCAAAAGTTAAACAGGCTATGTTCGTATTGCGTTAGCTTCTTGGCATGATTGCCGAAGTCATATTTTATGGTTCAGTATTATGTAAAAATCAACTCTTTTTAGATTTACAGCATATAATGATATTCTCTGATCAAAACATACCTGGAGTGTTGCTTAGATTTTTCTGTGCATGTTTGAGAAATCCTTTAATCTCCCATTGCAACCATTCAGCCGTGCAAAACGCCTGGGAGGACCCAGAACCGTCTTTGAGGACGAACCTCCTCCTCTAAGCTCCAGTTTCCAAGTTGCTGAGCACCCTTCCCCCGCTCGGCTCCTTCAGACTAGCCAGCAGTAATTAGCAAACACCTGGTGGAACGTCTGAGCTTATCGTGAGCTAATTTTCAGTCTAACACTGGTAGAAACTTTGCTGAAGAATTAATAGAGAAGCCATGTTGTGACTTCCTGAAGGCGGAGTTTCAGAAAGAGAAGAAGTTTTTAAAGAGACAGAGGCTCAATTTCAAAGTAAAATTTCTTTTAAGTCATGTTTTTATGACAAATGAATGTAACATATTTACTTGCTTGTTCTATAAAATGGAAAACAAACAAACAATGCTGACGTTGGACGCGTTTTGCACCGTTTGGATCTGCGGTGGCCTTTTTTCCGGAGCCGGGGACATGAACGGAAACGCTGAGGCGTGGAGTTTTGGAGGGTGTTGTCTCCAGTTTAACTGGATGCAGCTTGTTTCATTAAGCTTTTCCTTACCTCATTAACTTCGATTCCGTAAACCGCCTCAGCAAAACAGGAGGGAAGACTTAAACAGCCAGATGGAGTAAAAAAAAGAAGCACAGATTATGTTTGTGAAATCATTTGTAATTAGGCTGAAATGAGGGAACAAATTGTCTCTAAAGAATTAACCAATTCTTTAGAGACAATCGTCGGAAAAGTCCACGTTCGCCGAAACCTGCTCTGACATCCACCCCTCCAGACCAGGCCTGATACGTCCAGACACTCCAGCATGTGGAATATTCACATCTACACCTGGAAGAACGTGGAAAAATGTGACTGTCTTCACTTCCCTCACGCTCTCGCGAATTAACGTTCACTTCAAGGATGCAGTTACAGTAGAAATGACAGGAACACAGTTGGTTGCCCAAGCGAGCGAGCTGCAATATAACAGCTGGTTGTAAAGCCCAGATCAGGCCATAAAAATGCAAACTGGCCACGACACAGTGCACTAAAGCAGGTTTAGGCTGTTGGAAAATTTAAGTATTTAAAATTGGACATGTTCTTGTCCAAAAAAAAAAAAAAAAAAAAAAAAAAGGAACACGTCTGATTGGATAGAAGCCGACGAGGGAAAGAAATGTACCTGGGAACAGACTCACAACCCTTTCCAAAAAGAAAACCAACACCAGTAGGACCTTCTTCCACATTTCATCATGTTACAATGATAAACTTCCTTGTTGTTTTTTACATGTTAGAAAGTACATGTGAAAAAGCACTTTTTTATGATTAAGAGTCATAATTGATAGTTGTGAATACAATAAATCATCATCTAGGCTTGGACAACTAACAGAGCACTGTTCAGTTGGTTATCTGAGAATGGAGAGAGCGTGCTACATCTGACAGATGACAGAAAGTCGTAGGAGGAAAATGGTGAAGCATGTTTTACTGATTTATCACTTGAACAAACCTTTTTGTGTGTGATTTGAATTGCGTTTGTAACTTAATGGAAACGTCGCGTTTGCAAAATTATGTTTTTTTTGGCACTACCGGAAAATTGAAAGTTTTGCGCAGAAAGGCAGCAAGTGTTTGAGACGAATGCCGAGTGAAAGCTCCTCATGATGCACAGTGATCATCATACATCTTCTCTAAGATGAAATAACATCATTTGAAATGTCTGCAGCATGTGCAGCTGATGGCGATACAATGACTTTGCAGGATTGGCGGCGCGGTGCCCATCGTGTTCTCGTACTTTGCGGAGGTCTTGGCCAGGGAGAAGCGAGGTGAGCACCTGAGCTGGCTCTGCATGTTCTGGATGATCGGAGGGATTTACGCCTCAGCCATGGCCTGGGCCATCATCCCACACTACGGTGAGTCTCAGCTCTCTCAAACCTGATGTACCAGGATTATCGAAGAGTCACTTTTATGCGTATATTGAAAGTAGAGCTGGACTGTATAGCTGAAAAACTTATAGAAGCATTTCATATCGGTCAATATAGATAATTAGTGATTAGATTTTTGTTTTAAATGTCTGAAATATCTGGTGGTGTGACCTTTTTTATGTTTAAGCAAGTTTGAGGGATGGTGACAAAACCAGAAATTTCTGCTACGCACGTTATTCAACACTTTGCTGCTCGGTAACCAAACAGCAAGTGAGTCAGCCATTGTCGCCAACCTGGCTTAGCTAGCTGTGAAAGGTTGAGCGGTTAAAGACATTTCTCTGCCTGTAAATCTCCCAGAATGCCGTGCAGTTCTGGCTTGGAATTCAATGAAATTATACATAGTTCCCACATGTCTGAAGCAGAAGTAATCCGCCCCATTGAACCGCCATTTTGGTAGGCAAGAGCAGCACAACGTACCCAAGGCTTCGAGACCAATAAGAAAGTATATTGACACTCCTGAAAAATGTGCCAGAGAAAGATCATGTGTCTGTCTGTCTGTCTATCTATCTATCTATCTATCTATCTATCTATCTATCTATCTATCTATCTATCTATCTATCTATCTATCTATCTATCTATCTATCTATCTATCTATCTATCTATCTATCTATCTATCTATCTATCTATCTATCTATCTCTATCTATCTATCTATCTATCTATCTATCTATCTATCTATCTATCTATCTATCTATCTATCTATCTATCTATCTATCTATCTATCTATCTATCTATCTATCTATCTATCTATCTATCTATATCTATCTATCTATCTATCTATCTATCTATCTATCTATCTATCTATCTATCTATCTATCTATCTATCTATCTATCTATCTATCTATCTATCTATCTATCTATCTATCTATCTATCTATCTACTATCTATCTATCTATCTATCTATCTATCTATCTATCTATCTATCTATCTATCTATCTATCTATCTATCTATCTATCTATCTATCTGTGTGTGTGTGTGTGTGTTCTAAGCTCTAACTGAATGTATCTCTGCTTAGACTAAACTTAACCTGGTTTACATCTGATAAGATGACTTAGTTTATTTCTATTTGCTTCATGCCAGAGTACTAAGAGAAGATTTAGAGCTATTTGATAACTTCTTTTCAAAATTCAGAATTTAACTGTGGTCAATATGGTCACAATGAAGCTTGGATTAACAAAAACAAGATGCTAAGACTAAGTTAAAACATACCTGGTGTTACAGGACATTTTGGTTTTTAAAAACTCTAAATTATACAGCATATCACCTGGATTAAAACTGGTAAACGTTTCTAATATGTTCAACATCTTGTCAGACTTAAACATGTTTTTCAAATTTTATTTCATATACTGTTTATCAAATTGTTTACGGTCCCTTCCTCGACTTCAACTGAAGCGAAGAAGCAGTGTGTAAAAGTTCGAGTAAGACTAACACACAAGTCTTTTCTTCTGTAGTGAGCAGCATCATTCTCTGTCTATTGTGTAGCGTCCCCTTGGGTCTCCATCCTACACTGTAGAGATCTTTTACCTGATAATAAAAATCCATTACACTAACCAAGTATGAGGGGTGGAGGTAAAGCTGTGGATGACTTTTTATAGATCTGCAAATGGATGAAATACCTTGAGCAAAATAATACTGCATTAGTTAAGAATCAAGAGACAGAGAGAGAATCTAGACTGTTGGATAAGAGAGCCAGCGTGGCTCGAGCCTGCAGGAATAATATAGGACAGAATGAAATGTTAATGACATTCCTAATGTCTAGGATACAGACAAAAAAACAACAACACACATTCGAATGGGTTTTAATGTCAAACTGAAGTTCATACATTATTATATGACACAAAATATGTGGAGGGCATTGCATATCATTTTCCATTTGCAGGGATTATTTACAAAGCAGGCAGCCTTCAGGGAACAGATAGCAGGTGGCTGTGTAGGTGGAGCACCAGCAGCAGCAGCAGCAAAAGGCAACGCAGCAGACATGAAACACTGACTTGCAAAATATTCAGACCTTGAACTTTTAAAAGGGGCAGAATTATATAAAATCCAACTTTTTTGAGCTTTACGTCGTGTCATAATGTTGTTCCCTCATTAAAAACATACTTGCTGTGATTTTTTCATGCATCTGAGAGAAATCGTTTGATCTCGCATGGCGACCGTTCAGGGTGGACCTGGATGGACCCAGCGCTGCCTTCGAGGACAAAGCTCCTCCTCAAAGTCGCAGTTTTTGAGGAGGAGGAGGATGAAGGGTTACTATGCTTCAAAGTAACCCTCCCCACTCAGCTCCTTTAGACTAGCCAGCAGCAATTAGCAAACACCTGGTAGAACTGCTGAGCTCATTATAGGAGCTACATCTCAGTGCAGCGCTGGCAGAAATGTTGTCAAAGGGTTAATAGAGGAGCCATGTTGTGATGACTTCCTGAAAGCAGAGTTTTGTTAATTAAGTTAAGAAAAAAAAAACATGTGGAACTCATAAGCATCATTCAGGTGCTGTGAAATCTTCAGTTAGAGGAAAATGTTCAATGTCATTTATGCCTAATCAATATTTGTTACGTTGATTTCACGGAGATTTACGGAGCAGAATCAAAAAAAAAAAAAGAAAAGAAAATTATACCTTAGGTGTTTGTTGCTGCAGGGTTACGGATGAGGTGTGCGTCAGCTGATCAGAGCCAAACGAGCAAAATAAAATCAATCCGGTGCAGAGGGCTGAAAACCAAGGAAAAGGAGCACAGGAAAAAAAGATTAGGAGGATGAGAGCCGCAGCGTGTTCCTGATTTATGTGGCCCGTGTCAGAGATAATCGAAAGGTGAGGGTATACTGCAGAGGACTGAAGGGACGTAAAGAGAAAACAAACGAGAGAGAGGCTGTAAAAGGAAAGGAGGGGAAAGTGATGCATGAGGAGGAGTCTTTTCTGTTTTCAGGGCTGCGTTGATAGGATATAATGAACTCTATTCCTGGATCCTCGCCAGCAGCACGCTGACTCCGCCGGGACTATTATATGGATGCGTGACTGTAAAGATGTATTGACATCGCCGTGATTGAGTGGGAAGTGTTAAGTAAAAAACGTCTGAAGAAGTTTTTGTGGGTGGGCTGAAACAATGCCTGAAGACAGTGTTACATAAAAATAGCTCAAAGAGTCGGTGGCAGGTTCTTTTTGCTACTAGGTGTTCTGTTTTCTTCCTTAAAGCCAATTAACTCTAACGTCAACAAGACATGATGAGATCAATGGGAAACAGAGTGAATACAGTTTTACCCAACTCTTGCATGCATAAGCCACGTTGGGAAAGTTTTGTGCCAACAATTTCGAAGAATGAATTTTCTCACATCTGAAAGGAGTTTGATTTCAAATAATTCAAATTTCAAATAATTGCTGTGATAATTTTCAGCAGTTCTGATCCCTGTTTGAACAAACTAGCCAATGCACATGGAGATCAGAACTGCAACAAGATTAAGAGTTTATTCCACTGGTTATAGAATATAAAACTAAACCGAGTCATAATTGAGATTTTTAATTATTTTATTTTTAACATTTATTTAAAAAAATATTTAATGAAGTACTTGATTAACAAGAGAAATAAAGTGTTTAGCAATGGTTACAGTTCACCGCCTGAACTATTTGTGGTTCAGTTTTCATTAAATTAACATTGATTTCTGTATTAATTTGCAGAAAATCCACATATTGTCAGTTCTTTTTGTACAGGCTGGATAAAATATTCAAAACAAAATGCAGCTTGGGAAACTGGAATCCCAAAGCTAATGGTCCGTTTGTTACTGAGCCATAATACATGGAATATTGACCAACATATATGATGTGCAAAGATGTTTATAATGAAGACACTTGACAAAGTAGCAAAATGTAATGTTTGCGACTGGTTTCTGATCGCAGGTTGTTTTTATGACTTTTTACTGTTGTGTTTTTATGATGTAAAGCACTTTGAACTCCCTTGTTGCTGAAATGTGATGCACAAATAAATTTGCTTATTGAGACGCTATTGTTTGGTGGTTGCGAAGTAGCCAAAATAGGAGTGCTATTTATTTTCCTCGGTGCTGATTAGCTCATACTCCAAAGAGCAGTGAAAGGAAAGACTGTCAATATTTTGGGTGTTTCAACAGCTTTGTAAAGGACAGAGGAACTCTTGTGGTAAATAAAAAGGTTCTGATGAGTACATGTAGCAACAAAGACGTAGCCGACGTGTCTGCAACCAAACGTACAGGCTTCGTTTAAAAGCGCGCTGACTTTATTTGTGACGGCGGGAATGCAGAGAGCGCCTGCTGATGGAGGTCAATTGGTCAGACGCCAGTGTTTTAACACATTCTTTTTTTTTCCCTCTCTCGGAGATGCAGTGACGTGTGGGTAATAGGTTCCGCCGCAGTGCTCGCTGCATTGACTAGTGGACAAAGGCCAAATAGTATGCCAGTAAGTTTGAGAGAGAGAGAGAGAGAGAACCACTTTGTCTCTTTTGTTTTTTCTTTTATTATGTTGAAACTCACAGGAAACAAAAGGTTTCAGGAAGTAAAACATTAAATGTTTTGTGTTTAAGAATGTTTTTTTCTACCATTTCTCTGATGAACACCGCAATGATTAGAAATTAATCTCACACTGTGAACAATGGCCAAGGACAGTGTGTGTGTGTGTGTGTGTGTGTGTGTGTGTGTGTGTGTGTGTGTGTGTGTGTGTGTGTGTGTGTGTGTGTGTGTGTGTGTGTGTGTGTGTGTGTGTGCTTTAGCAACGCTCACTTCGGGGACATAAATCTTGCTGAGTTTCGAGATCAGTCAGCCGTTCCCCCCAGTCCATTATAGCTATAATTCCCCTAATGAGGTTTGTATTCTTACAAGCTACAGCAGCCGTCGAGGCTGCGCCTGCACACCGAAACGTTTTACTTATATTGCCTACATGTTTCTGCACTGCAGCTATTTCGGTGATGTACAGGTGGATTAAATCCAGACAGTTATTTTAAAATGAAAAAACTCGATGTGGCGTCCAAACCGTTGGAGGTGGAGGACCCTGAGTCTCCCCATCAGAGGCCACTTTTTTACTGGAAACTGTGTATACAAAAATAAAGTTACTTATTGGAAACAGTTTCCTGCTCATGCTTTTTATTTGTGTCTACTTGAACTTTAACAGAACATAAAACGTGTAATGTTTTGCTTCTTTTTCAGTGAGCAAGGCTACACCCTCAGGCAGAACGGTTATTAAAAATAAAAATATAACTCACTCATGGTGCAGTTTTATGCAAATGTAAATGCTCAAAAAACTAGCTAATAGGAGCTAATCTGCTCTGAAAGTAGGCTGCTTTCAGCATAGATGAAAGCAGCCTTTTTCCAAGGCAAACCTTTTTGCTGTAAACATCTTAAAACATATAATTGTGACATATCAAAGGGTGGTTTAATTATTTGCTGCTGTTGGTGGGACAATGCCTTGTGGGATACCTTCCTGACAAATCTTCACTGTCACATAAACTAAAATAAGTTCAGTTTAAAAACTTATTTTTACCTCAAAAGCTTCTCGACTTATTTAAATCAAGTGATTTTTACAAGTACGTTTAAAAAAAATTGAAGTTGAATCCAGTGAATTTATTTGATAAAAGCCGACATTGTGATTCATTGTGACCCAGAAATTCACTGGCCTTTGACAAAAGTCAAGTTATATTCACTCGTCTTTTTCAATTAAATTCAATGTTTTGATTTACAGTGTACTTGGTTCTTCTGGTCTTTTCTTGCTCAATGAGAGGTTTAAACATTTCACATTGAGTTACCCGCCGCCATTTAAGGATAAATATTACAGTGAACTGATTTTTTTTTAACATCAATATTAAAACCTGTTGTGTTCATGTCAGTATTAATTGGACAGATTTGTGATTGTGATGAAATTGACTGGAACATGTTATTCTTCTCTGCATTTATTTCTCTGTGTGATTCCTGCTAGGAGTTCTGGACATACTGAACCATTTTGGATGAACCACATGATAACCACATGGGTCTGCTTTGAAACCAATATTCACAGGCCTTAGTGAACACCTGAGGTAAAAATAAAGCAATAAAGGAAGTAGCAGAAGCAACTGCGACCCTTGAGTCAGTGCCGCCAACGCAGGTCCAGTTCTGTTGAGATTGAACAGAGCAGATGTTGCTGACCAGAGAGTTAAACTGATTTCCTCAGTGAGTTCGTCTGCTGCTTGGGCATCAAGAGGAGAGACGTGTGCTGCTTCTCTCCAAAACTTAACCTCATCCATGTTCTCTAGAAAAGAAAAACGCTAATTCATTCTGCTGTTTACTAATTTCTTTTACGTGTTCATGATAAAGCAATGAATGACTCGCTAATACCATAGAAATTCTATTCATTTATCTCACCTCAATTTGTTGTGAATTGTGGATCATTAGATGATGGCCTTCGTATCCTGGGTGTGTTTGGGAAAATGGCAAATTGGACTTAGAGACATTTTGTCCTGAACACGTCTTACAAAAATCTGCATGGTACATATAATCAAAAGAGAAAATTAGACTTTATACAACTGACACAGTTTTTCATTTTAGTATTTTTTTTTTTTAGCAATTTGTGCATCCTTTGCAAGAATTCAGAATGGGTTTTGTTGAGCGCAAACATGCGTCTTATATAAGTACAGGACTTGCAGGGCATGAAGGCGGTTCTCCTGACTTGCTGAAAAATGTCCAAATCGTCTAAAGTTCACTGCCTGTTTTTCTAAAATTCAAAATGTTTTCTACGTGCTTATTTAAAGTTCATTTATTGATTTGCTCGGTACAACATGGTGTCATGATAAAGTATCTCTTTCTACAAAAATAACCTCGATAAAGGTAAATAACTCGTTCATGTGTAATTTAGATTGAATGGATATTTTTATAAGCTACTTTCGTTGACGCATATATGCATAAAAAAAACCAGGTTGAAGCAGAAAAAAAATGATAATTTTTTTTCACCATTTATACATTATTTATTTGGTGGAGTCGCATACAGCTCCACATCATCAAAATTACTGGTTTGTTAGTTTGTGCAAACAGCTGCAATAATCACTTCCAAAGCCAACAACAACAGATTGATGACAGTAATAAAACATCTGCATCAGGCCTGATGGTGTGAATCTAAGGAGAAAAAAAACAACTAAATGTGCTCAATGTCTGCATGAATGCAAAGAACGTTGCTGACTTAAAGGTTAATTCATCTGAGGATGTTTCAGAAAGCATCTGTCTGTGTAGGATTCATGTTAAATTTTGCAACATTTAAAAAGAAATAAATGCTTTAACGCTGGCTTTTTTTCTGATATTATCAATTTTACTCTCAAATGACATTCTGCACATGCCTGGCTCTGTGTACAGGGTGGAGCTTCAGCATGGGGTCAGCCTACCAGTTCCACAGCTGGAGAGTGTTTGTGGTGGTCTGTGCGCTGCCATGCGTCTCCGCGGTGGTCGCTCTCACTTTCATGCCCGAGAGCCCCCGCTTCTTCCTGGAGGTAAAACTCACTCAATACCAGCAGCTCCAACATTTCGTTTTAACGTCGACGAGTTTCTATGGAATTAACTTTTTCTTTTCTTTTTTTTTTTTTTTAGCATCAACAACTTTTGTGAAAAGGCTAAATATAATGAATCAATGCCACTGGCAGTTATTGGCTGCGTTTCCATTACAAATTCACACAAAACTGTGTCGATATTACGCTAATGTGAAAACCCGCCACAATTTTACAACTGCAGTATTTCCATAAAGTGAGAAACACAATTAAAATCACACATGAATAAATTTGTTCACTGAGTTAAAAAAAAAAAAAAAAGTTGTCCAACAACTGCTTCCTGTCGTCTTCTTCATCATTTCCACCAGTAGTAACATCCGGTTGTTGGTCACACGACTCGTGTGACGTGAACAAAGTGTTTCCTTTGAAGTTTTGAAAAATATACAAATTTTGATGCCACTGAAAAGCTACCTTATTATCCAAGTGCTAAAACCTTTCATTGAAAACCAGATTTTTTTTCCCAGAAATTTCCATTGTTCCAGTAAGCAAATTTATTTTCGTAACACCAATTGTGCAATTTGGCTGCTACGGAAACACAGTGAATGTCTCCTTATCTTTGACTGCTTTCAGTTCAATCATATTTGTAGCTTATGACTTATGTAACTTTTACAAAAAAATATATTGTTATACATATTTGTTAAAACTTGCACTATGCCAAGACAGTATGGTATGATGCAGGTAATCAGTAAAACATTTTTTACTATTCAGAGTATGTGTGTTTTACCTGCTACATGTGTCCGTCTCCCAGACAGGGAAACACGACGAGGCCTGGATGGTCCTCAAACACATCCACGACACCAACATGCGGGCCCGAGGAGAGCCTGAGAGAGTCTTCACCGTAAGCATGCTCACCGTCCCTGAGCGCTCAGCGTCCACTGCAGCGCTCAGCAGCTGACAGATGGGTGTCGCCCCCTGCAGGTGAACAGGATAAAAATCCCCAAACAGCTGGACGAGCTGGTGGAGATGCAGAACGAGTCGGCCAACCCGGTGCTTAAGGTCCTCTGCAAAATCAAGGCTGAGCTCAGAGGGGTATGAAGCTGTTTTCTTACTTGATCTGATTAATTTTGAACCTTTAGGATGTGAAAGATGTCACATTTTTTTTCTTTTTTGCCCTGGCAGATATGGCTGACTTTTATGAGATGCTTCAGCTACCCAGTGAAAGAAAACACAATGAAGCTGGCAGCAGTCTGGTTCACTTTGTCGTTTGGGTAAGAAACAATCCCCTTCAGTTTTCCGTTGACAGACTTTGTGTTTTTATTGCCTTCACTATGTTTAATGATGCTTTCTACGGCCCTGGAGTTGATACTTAACTGTAGCCATCACTACTTCCCGACCTATTAACAGTTTGTGTGAAGAACTTCACTCTAAGGTAGTGAGTGCATCACTAAAACGCTGACCATGGATGATAAGTCATTTTTACAGAATTTGCCTCTTTTTTTTTCTTTTTTTTGGTCTGTTTACCCACATGCTGTCATTCTCAACAATAAAGAAAATCATGTAGCTGTTCCTTGAGACAATCAACAAATCCATAAAATCAACTTTAAAAATCTGCATTTCGTCGTCTACACAGAATTTTCTGCACGCACAAAGATGAGTGCTACTTGCTGAGTCATGGCACAGGTCCCACTCTGTGCACAAAATGGGCACTGGAGATGTAGGTGTTGTTCATTTAGAGCAGCGTGCCATTGCAGGTTTTACGGGCTGTCGGTGTGGTTCCCCGACGTCATCAAACACCTTCAGGCCGACGAGTACGCCTCCAGAGTGAAGATCCATCACAACGAGCGCATCGAAGACTTCACCTTCAACTTCACACTGGAGAACCAGATCCACAGAAACGGAGTCTTTATGAACGACAGGTACAGATAAGACACGGCCTCATCCACAGGCACTGGGCTGCCCACAGTGTTTGGGCTTTGGTGGCATCACATCAAACCTTCTGCACCACGTGACAAAATCGGCAAATTTAAAGCCAACTCAGGACTTCAGTCAATGCCATGGATATCTCTCAGGGGCCAACATTTATTTATTTATTTATGTTCAGTTAATAATGCAAATGAATTTCTGTTGAAACTTCTTTTGTTTTTTTTTCAACCTGCTCAGCAACAAATTAACAAGGATTTTTAGAAAAAGAATGTGAGTTGTACAGTTTCCTAACCTTTTGGTCAAAATGATCAGTTTTTAGTTTATTCCCCGCAACAACAATGATGACCCTTAACAGTGTGTAGTTCATTTTAGTTATTGGGTGTGATTAATTCTGTTTCTGCGTAAAAAGGCAAAGCGGACAAAAAGAAAAAAAAACTTGTCTAATAAAACAAAAACACCTCTTCTGTACCTAAAATGTTCTTAGATAGAACATTTTAGGTACAGCTTTAAGATATAAATTTGTCAGTTTAAAGCAAAGAGCATTACTATGTGCTATTTTATTCAAATTAATTTGCTATAGAAATTGGGGTGAATGTTAATTTCTAAAGCTTCATGGAATGAAACGTCGATCACCAATTAGCTCCAATCTTACCTAATCAAATACAATGCAACGCTTTGGATGCATCAGTGTAAAGCATGCTGCTGATTCACTCCAGAACAGGGGTGCCCAAAGTGGGACCTGGAGGGCCGACGTCCTGCATGTTCTAGTTCTCTCAACAACACTGTCTGACCTCACAAAAGCAAAGTGCATGTAGACATCATGTTATTCACTGATAGTTGGACAATTTTTTGTCCCCCTTTTTTTTGTGAGAAAATGAGTTTTAAAATACCACAATTGTTTTTAAAAGAGTGAAACAGCTGATTGTTATTTATCTCTTACATATTTTCCAAGTATTTAATGATTTCTGGTGCTAAAATAGCACGTTTTCCCTTCTAATCTCTCTTTACTAGAAGTTTGCGATTTAGAGCGCCGGATAATATCTTCTGTTTCTTGCCGTATTCCCAATGTGAGATATCCATGGCATTGACTGAAGTCCTGAGTTTACAGGCCAGCTTCCTTGAATTCCTGGTTTTCCAGACAGAAAAATAAATGCAGCCGCAGCGTAGCGCACTGCACCGTCGTCAAAGGTGCTTGTCCTGAAGTGGTACAGCGGCGCTATTTGTCATTCCCTCGAACGTCCACAACAGGTAATATTAATCCTGCCTCCTTTATCTTCCCCAAACACCAGGAAATTAAAAGCCTTATCACATTCCTGGTCCATTTCTCTGCCCTCTTCCCTCTCTCTCTATCTGTCTCACACACACACACCTGAACACAAGGTTCATTTACAGAAAGGGCAGAGAGATACGGCAGGGTAAATGCACACCAACACAACCATAGTGGGGAACACTACATGCAGCAGATTGTATTATTTAATAATAATAAGTTGCTTTTAAATATTGACTTATTTATAAAGGTCAATGCATATTAATGGATGTAGAATGTTGTAAATATACTGGATTTAGCAAAATGCTAATTCACCTCCATTATTAGTTAAAAAAACAAACAAAAAAAACATAAGATATAGACATTTATACAATTTCATAAAAATAAGGAAAACAGCTGCAACAAATAAAAGCTATATATAGACTGGAAAATTTGCTACAAGAAGTTTATGCCAAAATAATTTTTTTTAAATCCTAATACATGAAATTAAAAAGATTTAAAGATGCACTAAATAAAGAATTAAGATACAAATTATGTTTGAGTGGAAATGATTCCTGAAATATTAGATATACAGTTAAATCAGTGAGAACATGAAAGTTACATGTGCTGCATAAAATAGCAACGTCTTTTTCTGACAGTGTTTGTTTGTTTTTGCCTAAAGCTTATTTTGGAAAAAAAAAAGAAAATTTTTTTTCAGGAAGTTGACAACTTTGAGGGCATTTCAAAATTATTCACATCTCTTGGAGCTTTACGCATTTTTTAAAGTTCTAATTTATTTACGTTTTTTTTTGTAAATAGAAAAAAAGTATGCATTCAATGTTTTGTGGCGGTCGCGTCACAAAATGTGGGGAAGTTAGAGGAGTAGGAGAACGCCTGCAGTGCATTGCACCACAGTTTCTGTTCTCAGCTAGCATCGCAACAAGCTGTGCTGCCTCTGAGTCACGGGCCGACGTCGATCGACGAGTGGGGAGAAAAACTGTGTTTCTGTGGAGCGATGGCTGAATAAGGACAGAGCAGTTCTGAACATGAAGACCATGTGGAGCCTTTAAAGAAATGCTTGTACTGAAGAAATGCTGTCTGTTGTTCTGGTTCCACTGACAAGTCACGATGCGGTTTTCTGCACCCGCAGCAGATGAGACAGCAGAGAGTGAAACATAGATTAAAGGGGAAGTTGAAGTCCAACTTTCGCTCCACGCAGATTGTGTTCTAGAAATGATTGTTTTTATGCAGTTTATCAAAAGGCAAAATACGTTTTTCATCTTCACAAACATGAACTCACCTTTAAGTTTCAGTTCTTTGTCCAACAAAAACATATAGCAACTGAAATGTCCCTTAAATTTTTGATATTTTAAAATATTTTACAGTTTCCAGGAAGACTAATCTGCCAGTATTAGTCTTTGAGAGGGTGAATCTACATTATTATGCCATTGTCAATATAAAAATGGTCTCAAATATTATTATAATTGCTGGGGCATCATATAATCCAGCGAAATTTGTTATCATAACTTTCAATTTTAAATTCAAAAATAGTTTATTGACCCCAGAAGGAAATCAAATAATACATTTCAGTCTAAATGTCTAAAAAGTAAATTTCTAGAAATTCTATTGAAGCAATTTATTCAGAACTTTGTGTTTGATATCTGCACATTTAGAGAAAAAAGCAACTCTGCATTTCGGTGATGCAAGTGAGACACCAACACGCTTCCTTTCAAGGGGAAATAATTCTGTATCAGCACCGGCTGGCATCCGCAGAATGTCAGATATCGCTCTTTTATTATTTTTATTCCCGCTTTAATGGATTCTACTGTCGTTTTCTATCTTCTCCCAGGTTTCTCAACATGAAGTTCAAGGCGGTGACGTTTATAGACTCGTCTTTTATCAACTGCTATTTCGAGGATGTTTCCTCTGTGGGATCCTCCTTCAAAAACTGCACCTTCGTGGACTCTTTCTTTTACAACACGGGTGAGTTTACTTCTCCAACTTGGGCTGTTCCTCTAACAAGTGCAGTGAGTCAACTGAGATGTTTTACCTTTCTCTTATCTGTCTTTGGCATGTTGGATTCTGAAAAACACACACACACACACGCACGCACGCACGCACACACACACACACACACACACACATCTAGGGAGGCTCCATTGGGGGTTAGTATGCAGGCCTGTCGCAATAAGCAATAAATCAATTTATTGCATAATAAATTAAAGCAAACTCAATAATTTCCATTTGCATGATTTATCAATGTTCTCTTTTTCTACCAAAACTGGATGACAAACGTCTTCAGTCTAAATGAGCCGTTTTCTTTAAAGGACAATTGTGTTTTTCATCTTTCATTTTACTTGTTGTTTCTATTGTTTTGTTGATTTATTTTGGATATTTAAAATGTCTTCCAGTTTCAGTGTTAAATGTTTGTTATAATTTAAAGTTTATTGATCTTTGGAAATGTGTTCTTGCATTATTTATTATATTACTTGAAAAAGGTCTCAAAACAGCGATATTGTAGTTTATCACAACAACTCCTTGGACAATTTATCATCGAGCAAAGTATTGTGACAGGCCTATCGGTATTTTGTCCTTCAAGGAGACATGAAGACAACATTAAACTGAAGTGAAACATTGACGTGTGGAAACATCATCAAACGATGGAAAAACAAGAAAGAAGCCAGACCGTCCCAAATACAAATCCAGACAACACAGACTGATTTTAGCCTCGTTTGTATAACCTCTGTTTGTTTTCACCAAGACAGATTACTCATTGTTCACAGACAACAGATGAAAAACAACATTCTGGCCGTTAATTAATGTCCATTGTCCCTACCAAAGTAAATGAAATTAAAACGATGACACCTTTTTGTGTCATAGTTCTAGATTTTTAAATTTCCCTTTATTTGGGCGGTTAAGATGCAGTTAGTCAGCGTGAGGTGCAGCATCCTGCTGCACTGAGCCCATGCATCTAAACGGTTGTTTACAAAGTTTGAAAAGGACTGGCCTTAGCCGTATTATGAGAAGTCGATTAATCGTTTGCATACCTCGTACCTTTGTCTCAAAGTGGCAACAGAAATGAAACATCCCTGTTAATTCATCACTTAAATTCCATGAAAGTTACCAAAATAAAAGTCAAAAGTGAATTTTTTTCTCTGTTTTTACAAGGTTCTGCCTAGTCACTTAAAAGCTTGCGAAAAACACACACACACGCATACACACACACAAAAAAAACTCTGGACTTGAAGCAAAATGAAAGCAGCAGAGGCATGAAATGATCTGAGAGAAGCGGAGCTGAATCAGACCTTGTGGGAGCACCATGCGAGAAAAACCGTTCCCCCCAGCACTCTGTGAAAGCGCTGAACATGGAAACAGCGAGGCCATGTCAAGTTTGCCGGTAAAGCCCTCTGGGAAATGAAGTCTCATTGCTCCCAGCAATACGTCGGGAAAAAAATATGTGAAGAAAAAAAGACGAAACGAAGAGAGACAGGATAAGATCGGACGGTGTGTATGCATGTGTGTGTGTTTAGTGGTTACAAAGGTGAGAAGCTGGAATGTTTTCTCACCGCAGCAGCAGCTGCTGAATTATAATGATGTGCAATTTTCCAGCAGGCAGGTTTGTTTCATTCCTCATAATGATGACAGGAAAAACACCAGCACATTACGGAAGATCTATAAGGTTCCCTAGATTCTATGTTTTCTGTGAAATTAGGGTATTTTTCCATTGAGTTTACCTTTAAATATGGTTTATTTTAAAAAAATAAAAAATGGAATGTCTCAGTTGGCCTTAGTTGCCTCAGAGACTCGTACGGATAAAAATGTGCACCTTTAATGTACCGTTAAGCTTGGTGGAAATGCATTTTTTTCTGGACTCAATGCTAGAAATTCATGTTGATTTTAATCAATGGACCTTTCAGCTGAACATTTCTGCTGCTTTCTACAGACGTAGATGATGCCAAGTTGACAAATTCAAGAGTGATCAACAGCTCCTTCCACCACAACAAAACCGGTTGTCAGATGACGTTTGACGATGACTACAGCGCCTACTGGGTCTACTTCGTCAACTTCCTGGGAACGCTGGCCGTGTTGCCGGGGAACATCGTGTCCGCTCTCCTCATGGACAAGATAGGACGCCTCAGCATGTTAGGTAGGTCCAGGATCCGCTCTGACCATTGTGCAAAAATGACCCATTGGTCTCTGGACACCAGCCTGGGCGTCTGTAATGGCCTCCAGTGACACAAATATGGGCCATTTGGAAAGGATGTTCTATACGCTGTCCTCCAGGAGGCTCCATGGTGCTATCGGGAATCAGCTGCTTTTTTCTTTGGTTTGGCACCTCCGAGTCCATGATGATCTTCATGCTCTGTCTCTACAACGGTCTCAGTATCTCTGCGTGGAACTCCCTGGATGTAGTCACCACTGAGTTGTACCCGACAGACAGGAGGTGAGTTACACTACTCGACTAAATTTAGCAGTACGACTTGATGAACGAGTGCCAAGCCTTGTTTTGTACATTTTAAGTACGAGTGGTTCACTTACCGACATTCTATGACGGTAACCCTAATTTTCTCTCCTGGTGACCGCAGCATATCAAAAATGACAATATGGAAGACCACACACTTTCTGTCCCCAACCAAGGTACAGCTATTAATGGGAAACAAGAATCAAACTAATGGTTTCAGTCCTGGTTTGTAAAACTTTGTCATCACCAACCTGTATTCTGTGATGTTTTTTTTTTTTTATAGAAGTCTAAAATATTTGAAAAAATTGTTTAATTCAGCTTCACAAACTGAAATACCTTGATGCAGTGCTACTTGACATGTTAATGTCTGGCGTTTTCAAAACAGCCAGATTTGATATTTTCTGACTTCAGATTCTCTTCGTAGGTAGTTGAGGTCGCTGGCCGCTGCCAATAGCGGGGGTCCCACTGTACACCGTCAACTCTCATGGTATTGAGACATAGTGTAACCAGTTGAGAACTCATCAGTTCAGCCACAGAGTATTAGGTTAGCTAATATCACAGAGTGGAGGACAGCCAAGTGTAAGGCGCAGTGAGCAAAAATCAGCAACATCAAAAGTTTCCATGCCAATACCTGCAGACCTCCGAATTATATGTGACTTTCAGATTAGCTCAAGAACAGAGTGTAGAGAGCCAAACTGTTTCATTCAAGCCTTGCATCACCAAGTGCAATGCAAAGTGGCACATCTAGTGTACAGCATAGGACCCTAGAATAGTGGAAACAAGGAAAATTTGTAGCTGCATTACCACACTGTGTGAAGTGTACAATTTGGGGAATGAGGAATTACAATGAAAGGTTATTCTTGAGGGCTTGTCTTGGAGAGTAGTCCCATTAAAGGAGTGCAAGTTGCTTTGCTAGGAAACCACAGAGTGAATCGATTTGTTGTTGCCACATGAGAGATTGAGCCGCTAAAGTTTGTCTCCTTCCTACATCCCCCTGAATGCTGTGTGGATTTGGATTGGAGTTCAGTAAATATTTTATATATCTGAACATTCGATCAGACGTATTAGCTATTGGTCAAGGGTCTATTGCAATATATATTATTATTGATTTATTGTCCAGTCCTGTTGCTCCTAATTTTGTGGAAAAAGATTGGGGATGGTACTTGCAGTACCAACATAACTGTACACCACTGCATAAAGCAAGGTCTATAAGAAAATGTGAGCTTTGGTGTAGAGAAACTACACTTGACAAATAGCTCAACCTTCTGGAGGATCTTTGGGATGAACTCCGAAGGAAACTGTGAGCTTGGGTTACTCACTGACCTCACAAATGCGCTTCTGGAGGAATGGCCAGCTGTTCCGAGCAACACATTGGCACTGAATACTCAACAGATAATTATTAAATACAGTCACATTAAGTGATGTTGGCAAAACAAAAGACACTGGCTACCCTTACGTAAGTCCTCAGTAAGTAGTTGGTACTTAGTATAAATGAGTGACTGATTATTTGATCTTTTTGATTGTAGCTAAGGATGCATATTCTGTTCATGGCTGACTTTGTTTGTCTCTTGATTTTTCAGGGGTACAGGATTTGGCTTCTGTAATGCCATATGTAAGTTGGCAGCAGTTCTTGGCAACCTGATTTTTGGCTCCCTGGTTGGCATCACCAAGGCGATTCCTATTCTCCTGGCGTCAGCTGTTTTGGTTGGTGGCGGACTGGTGGGCCTCCGACTACCAGACACACGTTCCAACGTCCTCATGTGAACGCCGGCCAAGAAAACGGGGTTACCAGGTTTTTACTCAGCCTACTGAACACTTGGTTCTCAGCTATTGTTTATTTAAATGTCACTGAAACAGTTATTGCTGCCATTGCCCAAAAGTATTTCATTTCAAAGAAACAATGCTAAGCATCGCAACTACTCAAAATTACAGGTAATGGTTGTTCAGTTGATTCTGAGTAAAATACCTGCTGAAGACTCGAAAGCAGTTTTACAGAGCTGCAGATGTACAGAGAAAGCTTGTATGGAAAATTGTCGTACAGATGCACCAGATGCCAGTTTTACTTTTTTCCAGAACTGTTGGTGTTTAAAGCAAAAGGCTCAGCAGCTCATTAGCTACAAGCTTTTTCACACATGCAAGCCACAAAGGTGTGTACAAAAGCTGCAAAAGACTTGGGGTTTCAGCAACCTTTCATATCATCCCCAGTATTGCTCAGAAAGAAAGTACATGCAGACACAATTACACGGCTTTTCAGTTAGTGCTGCAAACGATCACCAAAACAACATTATCGTCAAACATTTTGTTACTTTTTAAATAATAATTTTCCACATATTGTTGGAGTTTATTTTTTTTATATAGTATCCTTACAACGACATCAGTAGTAAACATTATATTAATATTGCAAATGTTCATCAACAAACCAAAGAAACTTTATTAGATGTTGGATAGATTAAGAATTGCAAAAGATGACTTACAGTGTCAATCTTCTTACAAAACCTTTCCATTAACAGCTGCTCTGTTTTATTATTAATTTATCATTTATTTGTCATAGCAGGAGCAGCTGTTATGGTCAAAATAAAAGTCAATATAACAAAACTTCTCCAAAGCAATCCTTTATAAGGAACCTCTAGAGTAAATTCCATTATTCAGACATTGAGCCTTTATAGTTTTGCACCGATGTAGCATCTCATCATTTGAAAAGACGTGAAAGTTACAGTATGGTGAAAAGAGGCTTTTCTACATGTCTCCATGTTCTACAGCCTGTAAAGTGTTTACTGACTGCTGCTCTAGTGTGACACCCAGTGGTTGTTTTTTGGAATTGCACATTATGACCTCAGATTTGAAAAAATAAAATAAAATACAAACTAGACCCTGGAAAATTCAACCTGAAGATATGATTTAAAGAAAGTGCACAACTGAAATTCAAAGGTTTTACTATGTTGACGTATTAGAGTCATTGTACATTAAGTTCAGAAATAAAAAAAAAAACAAGGACATTATCGAGTTCAAAAAGTCAAAAAATGAGCAACTTTTGGAAACTTACTGAATTTCAAAAGTTGCAAATGTTTGACTTTTGGATCTTAGAAATTGTTCCTAGAAAATTTCTAGAAAACTGACTCATCTAAAAATTTCTTGGGCAGAATATTTCTTTGCCTTTTCCATTTATTAAGACCCAAATACACCATCTTATTTTGACACGTTTATGGGGTGGGCTTCTCACAATCGTTCCCATTTTGACTTCATTTGCTTTTGTTTTCCTTTATGAATACTGGTGGAATCACTGGTACGCTGAATAACATGGCGTACGTTGAGAATGATAACAATCCTTTTATGCAAATCCAACTGCAAGCTCCTAAACCTCTCATTACAACCCTACATAGTTTTAGCCTTGGGCTTCTTTACTTGTGCTTCTCGTCACCAGTTAGAAACTGAAAACATGTTCTGCATATATTTAGTGATGAACATGTAATGAAAGGTTGATGATCATCAAGTCTTTTGACGCAAATTGCAAGACTGACAAAGTCTTAAGGTAAAAACAAAAATTAAAAAAAAAAAAATAAATAATGAAGTAGTAGTTTAGTCAAAACTGGCAACTTCTGCAGCTACATTTCTAAATAATGAAAAAAGTTTACATTTTCTGCTTTTTACTGTGGAGACTTTTGGGAGTCGAGTCCTTTTTTGTCTGAACGCTTCCTGTCTCTTCCTCTCTTCGTGTCTCTGTGCGCGTAGCGGCGTCAAGCTCGCCACGAAGGGCTTCGCTCTTCTGTAAAGAATCAACGCCGCAGGACGCTTCTGTCGATGTCTGAACTTGTGCTTCTCTTTCTTTCTATCTTTCTCCTGTCGGTTTGCTCACGGTGTCCCTTGGCCCTCTGTGACCTTTGTTTACCTCCTCTGCCTTGCTGCTGCTCCCTGTGAAACTCAAAAGCCTTTCTCTGAACTTGTGCCTCTCTCTCTCTCTCTCTCTCTGTAGCCCAGCTCTTCCAAACCTCTGCTGGACGCTTTTGCTGCTCTTTCTTGCTTTTCCCCCCCCTTTGGTCCCTTATTGATGTGTGTGGGTGTATGTGTGCGAGCGTGAATGTTGTGACACTCAATTTTTGATTTATTTTTGTTTGTACCATTCAAGTGTGCTGCACAAAAGGTTCAGTTAACATCCTTTACCCACAATAAAAGCCATGTCGATGGCGTTAGCTCTCAGAAACGTCTGCAAATTGTATTTGCGAAACGGCCGACTGTTTTAGTCTGCCGCGCAAATTGTTCTTTTTAGATCTCAGCACAATGAGAGCAAATGTTTAAATGTTCTGCGAGTCTCGAGCAAGTAAATAATTTTAGAAATGGTTTTGAAGTTTTAGGAGATAACTGTTACAACTCAATTTGAAACGCTGCTATTGTACTCTTCCTTACAGGATGCCTCCATTTTTATTGAATGGAGGGCCTTTGAGTAAACTGTAATGATCAACAGAGCTTCGGTTGTGCAACAGGATTCAAGGATAAACCATCATATCTGGAAATGTTCAGTAACAACGCATTTCCTAATTTGGTAGAGCTTTCATTCTTAATAGTTTCTGCATTTATTTGTCATTAATAAATCCCACTACAGCACGTTAGGGCCGTGGTAGTCAGGAACCAAAGAAGCACATTTCCTTCAAAGCACTCAGAAATTTTGAGCTTAATGTAAGAAATTGTCGAACATTGCAAAGAAAAACTCAGAAATGTTTGACTTTTTCAAAGTTTTCTCTCTGAATGTTTTTGGAGTAAATTTCCTCCCTCGTCTATAATGGCCCTCGTACATCGAACGATTTTTCTTTCTTTAGACGTTTCACCTGATTTAAAGACTTCTCCTCACTGCGTTTGGCGCTTTTACCCTGGCAGCTCCAACTTGTGCTGAACAAACGTCTCTCAAAAATCCTGCATGTTTGTGACTAAAGTCTCCATGTTGTGTGCGCCCCTCGCCCCGGCTCTCCAGCCATTTTCCCGCATCTTCGTTGTTCCTCTGCGCGGGTCAGGAGACGTGTTTTCCCGGGTCGATGAATGTACCACTTCCTGCGTGTCGTCAGACGTGTCATGGACGGAGGCTCACGGAGCCGCTAGAAATGTACGTCCCGCAAACTGTCCGCCCAGCAGAGGCGCTCGGGTCTGTGTCCAGAGTGTTCTTAGTTCGATGGATTGCCACATTCGGGAACACGTTGCCGGAAACGAGCAACAAAGATTCGAGGACCTTTGCTGTCGAATAATGTGTGAAACAATTTACGTGTCCTTGATATGATTTATTTTGATAAGAAAAGAGAATGAGGCGTTACAGGTGGATTCCACAAACTGAATAAAGAGTTTCATTTGAAGAGTTGTGAGGCTTTTTATTACATTCTTCTAACAAACCACCAGGTGGCACCATGTGAATACAATTAATGGAAATGGCTTCCTCTGTTTGTTGACTATTATGGGCTTGTGCTCTCCACAAGGACTATAACTCAAATTCAAAAATCAAAAAAACTCAAGACTTCAAAGGTGAATCCAACTCAAAATGTCACCTGGTTCATGCAGTCAGGAAGATCAAAACGCAGTTCTCTGTTTTATTCCAGTTTCAGGAAAGCAAGTTACAAGATGCTGCTTTTTCCTGCTCCTGTTCTCTGACTGGAAAGATTGGTAAAACAAAAAACCTTATGATCACCCACATGCATAACAAGCTGCCCAACACCGACCTGTTTATACCGCGAAACACCCAAACTGAAATCAATTAACTAATCAAGTGAACAGCGAACCAGAGAATTTATTTTAAATAACAAACAAAAATTCTAACTATAAATCAATGAGAAAATAAGCAGATGAACAAAGCTGGAGAAATAGCTCCTGCAGACGGTGAGACACAAGGAGAGATTTTCTTGCGCTAGGCCAAATCTTGAACAAGATGGAACATCATGTCTTATTTGGGTCAGAAGAAAAATGGCTGAACTGTTGTTGGTCCAAAGTTTAATATAAAGGTTTAATGTAAATTTTATATCTCATTTGGGAATACAGAGTGTAGAACAGTATGAGAAGATTGTGTATACAGATGCCTCTTGCCAAATGAATAAATTCGGTGTAACATTTTGCCTTGTAACAGAAGCAATTTCTGCCATTTCCCACAGCTTCTGCTTTTACTTTTCTCTGGTAAAAGCAGGGGTTTCGAAATGTTTTGCTCGAACACTTCCAGGGAGGTCTGTTATGTCTGGTTGGGCCGCGTACAGCTGTTCTAGTGGTTCGTAGTAGAATAACTCTGACATATTTTGAAATCACGTCACCGAAACATTCATGAGCTGAACAGGAAGTTTTGTGTTTTGAGGTGAAGACATGAGACAGACATTAACAAGTTTTTTCCTTTGTGGACGACGGTTTCACAAAATGGAATAGTCACAAATAGAGAAATGTTTTAGTCCTGGCTTAGTAAGGTAGGGTAATGAGCCTCACAAACTTAAAGCTTGAAGCACACACATGCTGTAACAGTGCAAAAACACATCATTTCTTCCCCCTCTGAGCAGTGCTTTCAGTCCCACTTACATAAGAGCCATTCTCCTCGGACTGGCCCGTCGATTGGTCAGAAAGAGAGGCAGATGCTCATTCTTTTCTGCGGAGCCAAACTGCCGCGGAGACGGGCGTTAAAAAAAAAACTTATTATGCGCAGTAATGTGTTTGAACAGCACAGCAGTCTGTTTTGATGACACCTTTTGTTCTGCAGCACCAAACCGCCTCGCTTGGAAACTTTGGCTGCTTCGTTTAAAGTACCATATAACATTAAGCAACAACAATTCCTCTGCAGATGATTTAGTGAAACTGACGCGCAGCACAGACCTCAGAAAATAAAATTAAAAAAATAATAACTTGATGGTAAAGAAACACATAGAGTGAGGAAGTCCAAAAAAAGATGTTTGCTTAGTCGGAGATTAAATGATGCAGGGAATGCTAACATGTGAAATGCAAAGAAATGCCAAGAACTGACAGTATTTCCATTAAAATCAGAGGAAAATATGTGAGAGATTGATGGCAAAAGCTTACAAATATTACATGTCAGCCCACAGGTGAGAAAAGAAATGTTTAGTCTGAGACACGAGGAATGTTAGTTTTGAGGACATAAATGCATCGCTGTTTATTTTGCGAGTTTAGGTGGGAACTTGAAGAATCATTACACCAAACAACAGCCAAAGTGATGTTGCATTAAGTGTTTTGTCGAAAAATTCTTCCCGCCGTGTCAGGGAACGGGCCGAAGCTGAACAAGCATTTCCAACTCTCCACCTTTTTCACGTGACGTCACATCACGAGCCAGAAAGTCCAGCGTTTGATCTTATGAGGCAGACCAAACGGCGCGCCGTGAAAACGAGGTGACAGATGGACACGTCCCAAAAGTTTCACACAATTCAGCACACGCAGTAAATTCACTTTCTAACACTCTGAGACCAGGACTGCAACTAACGGTTATTTTAGTAATTGATATTTCTATTAATTAACTGATGAAAACAGAAAACGGCGGCAAATTTTGCATTTTTTTCATTTAACCACTTCAGGCTTTTTTATGCAATATTTGAAGTACGATAAAAGATGCAAATAATTCATTTGCTTTTGTGAATAAGAAAACAAATAACATAGCATTCCTTTCAGCAAATGGCCATTTTTTAAAAGCATGAATAATCAAGTTAACGATTAATCGATTGCTAAGTTAGTTGACGATTATTTCATTAAATGTTTAATCACGATTAAGCTGATTAATCGTTTCAGCCTTATCTGGAACAAAGATCCGTTGTTCCAACCAAACAAGTGGGCCGGGTTCTGACAGTAAACATCAACCGTCTTGAGTGAAATGAACCACATACAACTTCCAATGAAAATCACACATATTGATGAATGAATATAATTTATTTCATCATCAGTGAGCTGTACAACATGTTGGGTGAAATACAGAATAACTTTTAATAAAAGGGGCAAAGGAGAGCATCACAGTAAAAAAATAATAAATACATTTGTAAAGAGCAAAGCAGAAGCCAAATAAGTGCTGGATTTTACTCCGTATTTCATCTTTGCTCGTCTGATGGAAAAAAAACTTATACAAGATGGATCTTCACATTAAACCGGGACATGTCGGTGAAACTTTTGACCAACCCAGTGTTGTTGTTTTTCTTTTTTTTGGGTTTGTTTGTTTTTTTTCTAGTCATTAAAACTGCAGCCACATGACATGTCCAGCAAATATGCGCTGCTGAAGAACAGGATGTATTTTCTGATCATCACACCTACCACAAATCGGAGAGTGAGATAACAAGGGGGGCGTGTCAGTCGTTCCATGTACTCAAAACAAAGATTTGTCCGAGCTGAAGATATTTCGGAAAAATCAAGATTTGATTTTGGCTTCTGTCACAAGAAACAAGGTCCAGGTTTTCAACACGATAAACTGATTTACTATCTCGCCAGTATTCTGCCGCTCTTGGCCTGCTGGCTCTACTTCCAGTAGCAAGCTTCATTTTCAAGGTCACGACTTTCCTAAAAGGACAGTAGCTACTGGCTGCCCTAGAACCTGGTGAATGATGCCACTATATACAGAATGATCCACCTGCAGGAAGCCGCGTTTCACGCCGTGCAGAGAGGACGAAAAACAAATTCAGGAGCCGTACCTCGTCAAAATGAGAAACGTTTCTGTTTAAGGAGATGCAAAACTCGCTGCACAGAGGTTTACTAAAGCCAAAGAGTCGTAAACCTTCGGCCATTGTTCTTAAATCCAAACAAAATACTGTGATCAATCATTTTAAATTACATTTAAGAATGCTTTCAACTATTTTGTAGTATTAACATCAAACTGGTAATAAAGGTGCAGGTTTCATCAAACCAATCTGTCATAAGCATTTCTTGTAAACACAAGTTCTACTTTTGAAACAGCCGTTGCATCAAGGCTAACGCTCCCCTCAACCGAATTGCTTTCTCTTTGGGAAAGCATGAAATTTGTCAGTTTCCTTCAAAACACGTAGGGTGCATTCACACCGGGACTGTTTAGTCCACATTAATTGAACTCCAGCTCATTTGCCCCGAAAGTCCAATTCGTTTGGGAAGGTGTGCAGGGATTAATCAAACTCCGCCTGAAAAAAGTCTCAGTTCTGTTGAAGTGAGCTGCGGCTCGGTTCGAATGCAAGCAGACATGAGATTGCTCCAAAAGCAGGAAATGCGCTATAGCGCAGTGCATTCTGGGTCAATAGAGCCGAAATAAACGGCGAGAGAAACGGCTCATGGTCTTTTGCCAAAGACAAAAGGGACGTCCTTCATTTTTGTTTACGTTTTGCAAAGTTGTGCTTTTGTAATTCCCCTCAGCGGTTCTTGGTGCAGCGCCCCCGCAGGTAAGGAGGTAAACAGCAGGTAAACAAAGGGCTGGGATTGTTTGACACAGTTTAGTGTGAAAGCAAACCGCACCCGTTGAAAATGTAACAAATACAGAAAATTGTTGCCCCCGAGTCTGAAGGACTATCAGGTGGGAAAACGCCATTATTGTCTTTCAGAATGACACACTGAGGTTCGTGCCTTTGAAGGTCAGAGAGAACATTTTGGATCCCGCAGACCTGGACATGAGGATAAAGAAGAAGGGGTCCAGGCAAGCGTGGAGGCAGCAGAGACACACCGCCATGTTGAAATATTCGTACAGACTGTCTGCCCCTCCCGCAGACAGCTGCACATAATGGAGGAAGTGCAGGACGCCAACGGGAAGGAAGCACAGCAGAAAGATGGTGAACACCAGAGAGCTGGACTTGATGTACATCGCCCAGTCGTAGTGCGACCGGTTGAGCGCGTTGAGGATTTTGACGAAGCACACGGTGGTGACCACCATGGGCACCAGAAGGCACAGAACCGCCAGAGTCAGGTTGCAAAAGAGCAAGAACTTGTGAGAGTCATAATTCAGGGGCATCACGTCGTGGCAGGTGGTGCGGTTCAGCTGGGAGACCCAAAATGTCTGTTGGACCAACATCTGGGGGACGACAGAGGCGCCGAAGACCAGCCACAGCGCCAGGACGGCCCAGGCTATGCACCTCTGCTTGGGCAGCGTTTTGTACATGAACGGGTGCACCACCGCCATGTAGCGCTTGACGGCGATGCAAGCCAGAGTCAGGGCCGAGCCGTAGAGGTTACCATAGAAACAGGCGGTGACCGCCTTACAGGCGGCTTCTTCGAGCACCCAGTTGTTTCCGAGGAGATGGTAGTGAGCCTTGAAGAAGAGGGAGACGAGCAGGAATAGGTCGAAAACGGCCAGGCTGCAGTAGAGGACGGCGGACGACACCTTCCTAATCTTGGTGGCGAGCAAACACAGGATGGTGATGTTGGTCGGGATCCCGACGATCACCGCCAGCAAGTAGATGATGGGGATGACTCTGGTGCTCAGGCTTCCTTTGAGGTACTCTATGGCAGAGTCGCTTAAGCCCACCAGAGACGGAGGACCGGTGGAGTTGGGAGGCTGGGTGCCACCGACGTCAGGCTGTGTGGGAAGATGTCCTAAAAGCACTCTGGGCTGAGGGAACACTTTCTTCCTTTCTTTCTTTCCTCCTGCAAGAAATTCAGACATCCTGTCATTTAAAAAAAAAAGCTTGTTTTGACGTGCATTTGCTGTTAACCTTCGGACTACAACAAACAACAGACGGCATGGCAACTATCTCCTCTACGATCCAATGCTTTGAATACACAAAGCGCGGTGGAGGACACTGTTGCTTTCCAAAAGCAAGACTTTGGGATTAAAAAAAATCTGTAAGCTCATCATAAGATGAGCGTTGCGTCTGGCGAACTTTCCACAGCAAAGTGGAAGTTCAAAAAGAAGAACACGAGCCGGAAGGAAGGAAGGGAAAAATGGAAACCAGGGTAAAAACTAACAGAGGGAAACATTACGTCTGCAAGCACAATGACTAACATACCAAAAAAACAAACACACAAAGGACATAAAACAACTGATCAAAACCAGAAACTAGTTCTAACTTAGTGGAATCATAACAATCCAACAAACTATTGATTTCAATTAAATCTATCTGCCACACCTATGTTGCTTGACCTGTTATTTCCATACCAGCTGTTTGAGTGAATTTACTTTACAATTATTACTTAAACGTATTTATTGTTTGTTTTTTTCTGTAATCTTAACTCTTCTTTTTACTCATTTAACTGTTCGCTTTCGCACCTCGGTCCTTCAAACTACGAGCGTTTCCTTTTAATGCCGAGATTGCCTTCAGTTCATGCATTTCTCCTTTTGTTTTTTGTTTTTTTGATCGTTCCTTTCATTTCACATGAAGCGCTTTGTGAATTCAGGTCGCCTGACCCGTCGACAGTGACAGAATCGTCTCTCTCTCTCTCAAACCTCACTTCAAAGCATCTCTTACCATGTTTCTGAAGTGTCCCGTGTATGAACAGGGCAACCAGGAGAAGGAGAATGAAAAGTTTCCTCATGTTGTTTTGCCTTGTAGTGAAATCAAGCTCTTCTCCGAAGTGGATCTGGCAGCTTTTAGTCCGCTGAGTTTCCCCTCTGCGCACTGTCAGCCCGTGTGGGAGTGCTCAAGTGAGAAGCACCACCTCAAACTCACATACCGACAGCCGGGTGAAAAAACAGCATCAGTTAACATGTGGGGTTAGCGTGTAGCGCCGCAGCTGGCTCTAAGTTTCACTTTTACCCCATGTGAACCACCTCTGCCTCAACTTTTTCATTCCTCTTCATTAAACCAACATGTTTGTTTTTTTCTTTACTCTTAATTTTCCTTCTTACTGACCAGCAGCATATTTGAGGAGCAGACTTTTGCAAAGGCAAATGTTTCAATATTCCTCTTGTCACACGGGAAACGACGATTCATGTGAGAGGAAACATGACGCAGGGCAGGAAAGACGGCCAGACAATTATTGAGGAAACGTCTGACCGGGGTTGATAAGCAGCTTTGTTTAGTCTCAACTCGCAGTGCTGGAACTCGGAACGACGCACTTCATTGTCGCAATAAAAGCTTTATCTCTTCTAGTGCCACTGGCTGCTGCTCCTGGAAAAATATCCAAACACGCTGCCGGGGCGAGCAAAGCAACCTTTTATGCTAAATCAGCCATATTGACACCCACCTGAGTGGGCGCGGCGTTGGCAACGTTCGCCCACTTCAAAATGTGAGCAGGAAAACCAACGTCTGAACCGCCGAAACGTCAACATTGATGTCAAACTTCACTCGAACTGAACATTTACAAAACAACCGAGAAAATCAGCGCTGATCCATTTCTGCCCCGCACTCAGCATGACACCCTGACCTATGTGACCTATGTGACCTATGTGACCTATGTGACCTGTGTGACCTGTGTGACCTGTTTGCTGCTTTCCTTGGTGTTTGCGATGCTGTTTGATCGCTAACTTGATCGCTGAATGACCACAAACTGCATCACTGGGTTTTGTATCCTACTTTTTTGTCTATTAAAGTGTTTCATCAATAAAAATGAAAAAAAAAATAATTTCTCCTGCTTTTTAACTACGTTCCAGTTTCTGTTGGTCCGTCACACGCAGCTCCACAGGTGAGGACAAAAAGTGAAAAGGTCTTGGCTCTGTGAATGTTTCGTTTTTCAGTACTTTCTCCGACCAAACGGACGGTTTATTATCTCTAGCTGCAGCCTCCAGCTGTCGGCAGATGTCTCGGTGTTTTCTCCGAATCCGTTTCTCAACTGTTTGTGTGCTCAGTTCACACTCGACCTCCGCAGTCTCTCTCTCTCTCTCTCTCTCTCTTTTTTTTTTCTCAAGAAGCGAGAACGCTTCGCGTCAGTGACGTCAAGCTGCGAAGACCACAGAGACGTTCAAAGCAAAAGTCGACCTGCTCCACGGCGGTTTCCGGCTGGTTGGAAGTAAAAACAAAACATAAATAAATAAATTTCTGCCTCATAAGAGCGGCAGGCTCACAGAGACAATGGAAATCAATAAACGCGTCTCCGCGGCGTCGCATCCGTTGGCCGCCATCTGCTTCCTGTGTCTCTTTACGACCACTGTTTCTGTTGCCCATAAAGTCAAACAGAATTAATAAATCTGTTTTTTTTTTTCTTTTTTCCCCTAAAATAAGAACTTTAAAGGCAGATCCGTTCCCCATGGGTGAAGGATCTCCTAAGAATCTGGGGCTTTGATCCGTTCATTTTCCCAGATAAAATGACGACGCGGCAAAAAACTCCGGTCGATTTGAAAAAGCAGAAAACGAGTCACAGTTTGTTGTTGGTTGTTCATCATGGTAAACAGCCTCATTTGGATCATTTGAAACACGCAACACATTAGTGTCGAATCCATTTAGAATCCATTGAAGCTGCTCCAAAGACTTAATGTTGGCATGTTTTTGGTTATGAAGTGTTTTTATGTTTTCCTGCTGGAAAGTCCAAGTTCAGCCCCTCTGAGAAAACTAAAAGAACCACAAATGTTCTCCAGAGTTAAGCGAGTTTATTATCACCAAGCGTTAAGACAGTGCTTACCATGAAAAAGCTCTTTCTCCAACTCAGCAACAACGTGTTCAGCTGAAGTGTGCAGGTGCTGACATGAGCAAGCCAAACGCCTTTCTGGGGGAAATATTTTGTGCCAGGAGGACAATAAGGCACAACGATGAGACGTCTGTCGAGATGAAACTTTTACACTGCAGAACATTGGACCGAGTGTGAAGCATGGCAGTGGCAGCATGATGCCACCGCCCTGAAGAAGATTCAAATTCTTCAACTTCAAGGAAAGTTTGACCCGTCATCCCCAACGATCCCAACACACGCATTTGGATTAAGCAACTTCTGGAATTGCACTGATCAGCAGTTTGTTTTCAATTCTTAAAGAGACAGTATCGTGTTTTTCCCAGGCCCATTGTGCCATTTTATGACACAATCCAGTAACTATTGTTAAGAATTAAAAAGAGGAAGAACTTGATTTAGCTCTTTAATTAATTCTTTGTCCCGAATTCCTGTGTCTGTGTAAGTGTGCAGAGAGAAAAGAGCAATCATACGACGTCAGACTTCAGATATTCAGAGTTTTATCCAGAGAAATTCAATCCAAGAAGAATGTTACAATAAGCCTCTCACCTAGAGCAAAAGTCCAAGATATTACAAAACAGAGACAAAGAACTGAGTAAAAAAGACAAAAGAATAACAGAAGATGCATCCTCCGGGAAACTCTCACTCAGCACAAAGAGATTCCAACTTCTGCTGTGAAACAAACCATTTTTTATAGAATGTGTATTCTCCTCATTTAAATATATGCATTAGGAGGTGTGTTCTTTTCCTTTGTGTGGGCTGTCTTAATGTTAATTTTATTACCTCTGAGACCCAACCTCCGTACCAGGCTCCGACCTGATTTACAGCGTGGAACTGGAACGTTATCTCTGCCTCAAGATGCTTCAACAAGAAAGTAGTTTGTATTTTTAACCAAGCTTGCACAAAATGTAATGCTAAATAATGACTATAAGTTTGGATCTAAGAAGTAACTAATTCAAAACATGCTTAAAGAAATATAGTTAATTCTAATATAGATAAAATTATTTATATAAAGTTTTAAGATCCTAGTGAACTTTTGAACCATGCTAAGGAATTTGTTAATTGCCTGGCAGACAGACTCTCTGTGTAAAGAGATTCTAGGCCTGTCTTTTCTGTAGAATCCTCCCTAAGAATTTATATAAGTTCAGAGATTCAGCAGTTGTTTAGTTTGGATCTTTATCTAAATTTATGTGAATGTAGAGTGTACTTTAACTTTCTATGGTATATTTCATATGTATCAAAACTATCCTGTGCAGTATTGTGCTAATTTAAAATATTATTTCAACACTATGTTAACATTAGGTGTCATAAAAATGCTATATGTCAAATTTGATGTAAAAGAAATTTGACTTTGTAATTTAATGCCTTGAAATCGTGTCCCTGTCTCTTTAAGAAGCTTCTGCTCTTTGTGAAACTCGCAACATGGCTCCTCTATTAACCCATTAACAACATTTTTACCAGCGTTTCACTGAGAAGCATGATGAGCTCAGCAGGTGCACAGCTCCACCAAGTGTTTGCTAATTGCTGCTGACTAGTCTGAAGGATCTGAGAGGAGGAGGGCTACTTGGAAACTGTAGCTCTGAGGAGGAAAACAACAAACTTAAGTATGGCGTCCTCAGCAGGACAAGATTATAAATAAAACTATTCAAGTGAGTTGAATTTTGGAAGCTTGTGGCTCATGCAGAATTCATATTTAATTATCAACATTGATTGTGAATAAAACATTTAAGCCTTTCTTTGAACTGTTTGCGTATTTGTATCATTTATTTGCTTGTTTCAATATCTGTAGCTTTAGAAGCATTTTGCTTTTTTTTTATCTGTGAAGGTACTATAAGTATAACAATAAGTTATTTATGTAAACCGCTGACTGCTGCCTTATTGAAGAACAATAACAGAGTTCACTTTGTGTTTTTGAAATGATCCGACTTTTTCATGCAGGCGTTTCTCTTCTCTGAACTGGACTGAAATCACCAGGAAGTTCCTAATTCTCTCAGAAGATGGCAATATTTCCCTGTTATGATGAGAAACTGCTTTTTTCCCCCCTTTTGTCATCTTCGCTCCGTCTTTTTATCTCCCACAATCGTGGCTTGAAGAAAGTTATTTACTCTAATGGACGTTTCCTACTGGTTTTCCCCGTGGAAGCTCAGATAAACTCGCCTAACTTACGACTTCCTGCACTTTCCCACTTCAAAGCGAAGCCGTCGCTGCCATTCGTGTCGTCATCCTGACTCAGATCTGGGAAAGTTCCTGGATGAAAACGACTCGCTTGTTTTTCTTTCCACAAGCTGATCTTGTCTTGAAATCCACGCTTTAACGTTCGTGTCTCCACCGACTCACATTCAGGGCATCATGGGAGTCTTCATGAAGCTTCAAGACTCCCTTAAGGACAATGGATCACATTTTGAATCTTAGTGACATGCTTTAGGACTCAAAGGCTGACTCGTCCTCACAAAGCAGCTGTAGTTTTCGTTGTCAATGTGTTTCATTCTGATTATATGCAGACCTGCATAAATGGGATGTATATGGTTTTTACATTATCTTTTTCCCATATAAAACTCTGAAAAGTGTAGCATGCTTGTGTGTTCAGCGTCACGCCGTGGGAGTGTTTTTCTTTAGCAGGACAAAAAGAACGTTTTGCTTGCTCACTGTAATGTGCGTGACCGACTGAGGGAAAGGGAAGGAAGAGATGAGCAGCGTGGCGAAACGCAAGCGTGTGTCATCGTGACGTTTGATCGTTTGCTGCCGTTTCTTCCAGCGACTGTTAAAGGTGAGATTTTTTTTCAAAAGAAAAGAACTTCCAAAAGTATGTGCAATAGAGAAATTCCTTATCTGTCCTCCTTTTCATTAAATACAGATCCTATTCTGTCACGAGTTCATGACACAAATGACCCTGAGCTGGGAAATGAATCGTGCAAAAGACTGAATAACTTTGCAAAAATAATCAGCGAGAGTGTGTGTGTGTGTGCGTGCGTGTGTGTGGGTGTGTGTGTGTGTGTGTGTCAGCATGCAGTGGCTCTCTCTACCTTCAGCATT